TGGGCCCCTGCGCAGGCCTGGGGGGCTGCGTGTGCACCTGGGCTGCAGCAGGGAGAGTGGGCCCACGGCCCCTGTGATGCTACAGCAGGTCTTGGGTCCGCCACAGAGCGGTGCGGGGAGCGCTGGTCCCGCTGGCACTGGGACTGTCCCCACCACCATCGGGCAGGGGCTGCAGTCTGGAGCCCACGTGCTGCTTGGGAGCTCAAGCATCCAGGTCCATCGTGCTTCCGCTCCTCGCTAGAGATGGAGTTTGGGGATTCAGCTTCCTACCGCCTCCTGGTCCCGTTTCTATGCAGGAAAGCAGGGGCAATGCGTTTGGCACGGAAGAGCACGGGCGGAGATGGTCCCGGCCAGGAGCTTGGGCAGATGTCGCCCCTGCTGTCCTGGTTTCCCTTCTCCTCAGTGGGACCCTCGGGAAGGAGGGTCACTGGTGCGGAGCAGAGGTGGTACTTTGTGATGTGCACAGCAGTTTTCCCTTGGAAAGTTGCTAGTTCAAGACCCAGGACCTCTAGGCTGTGCTTTGAGGCAAGGCCCTGTGCAGTATCTTTGTCAAACACATTAGCATAACAACAACGTTTAATTAGCATTTGTCTTTCATTCACTTCCTAAAGGTGTTGGCCGCCAATTGGCGCTGCCTGTGTCAGGCTACAGCATAGCTTTTCGCCAAGGCGCCTAACGCTACGTGTCCTGCTCCCTGGCCTCTGAGGGCTGGGGGCTTTGCCTGCCGCCGGGCGAAGGGAGGCCTTAGTTATCTAATGAAAACCTCCTTAGAGTCACGAGGCCTAAGTATGGACCCGGTGGAAGGGATGAAAGCTGCTGCAGTGTCACATCTGTGGGCCTCGTGCAGCCCACCGGCAGGCAGAGGAGCCAGGATGTCCGAGGGTCAGGATCTCCGCTGGCCACGCGGAGGTCTGCTGTGGCCGCTTAGTTGGTAACGGTGATACAACTCTGAACAGTAAAGTGTTTGTGCTAAGTGCTGTGACTCTAGAATTCGCCTCCCTTTGCTTATTTCCGTACCTTTCTCTTTTAATGACCCTTTCGCCTAGCATCCCGAGAGAGGACAGCAGCTCCAACATCTCCTTTCTTCAAAGTGTTTTTCCGTTGTCGGTGCCTGTAACGACTCTAGTCGTCTTTGCGAAGCACAGCGTGTGGCCACCGCATGTCTTTCTGCTCTTGCTTGGACCTTTTCTGTTCCTTCCGCCGCTCCCGAGCGGGGTGTTTTGCGGGAAGCACCCTGCAGTTGCTTGTCTTTGCTGTTTCTCCTCCTCCATCCCATGCAGGAAGGGAAGCAGAGGCCCTTTTGGGAGAAGAGCCGTTAGTGCCACTCAGGGGTGTGCTGTGGGTGTGGTTTTTGCTTTTTTTCCAGGAAGCACTTAATGTTCCTGTATTTCTGGCTCTGTTTGCCACTTGAGATTTGGCAAAGAAGCGAGCAAAGAGTGGTCCGAGAGGCTCTCAGATGTTGGAGAGGGCAGATTGTTTTTAAACCCCTTTTGACTTTGGCTCAAATGTCGGTAGCTTGTAGCTCATGGCTTTCTCGTACCGTGTGTCACGCAGCATGTCCTGCTGTCACGGCTCGTAGCACGTGTGTGCGTTAACACGCGACACATGGGCTGTGGCCCTTCAGGGAGGCAGCTTTGCTCTTGTGGGACAAATACCTTGCTGGGCATTAACGAAGTGAGCAGAGCTTGAAGTTGCTGAGGCTTGAAGATGACTACCGAGCTGTTGACTGTTTCTAAACTCATGCAGGCGGGCAAGGTGAGCAGTGCTGGGCATGCGGAGCCCTGCTGGGATCTGCAGCCCAAAGTGTGGGTGATTGCTATTGAAAGAGCTGAAACGCTGGATCTGGGGATGCCCGGAGAAGGAGACCCTAGTTGTAGTGACGCCAGTGGAAATGCTGCCTGCGCTGTCTTCCTGCGAGCGAGACCTGCTTGCGCAGAAGGAATCTGCAGACCCCTGTAGAGGGAATGGCAAATAAAATATGGATCTGGCTGCAGCAAATCTGGCCTGAATCCTGAAAACGGGATACTAACTGTTGCTAAGTGAAGCATGTTAACAGGTACCCGTCAGATGGGGCTCCAAGAGGTTAATCCATGTTGGCAGACATGGAGGACTGCAATTCACCCGTCTCCCACATGCGAGCGTGAGGGTGGCTTGTGTGCAGGATACTGGATGAATACGCATGTGCTTGCTAGTTGCCCTCTGTTTAAGAGTCTAAACTCTGAAGCTTTGACAGAGTCATGACACTAGCTGCTTGCGTAAGTCTCAGCAGATTAGGTACCCTTCCCGGGGGTCCTGTGAGGTGCGTGAGCTCCTCCTCATGAGGAATGGGAAGAAACAAAGACAAAACCAGGGAAGAGCCGAACGAAGTCACAGTTCTTCCTCTTCTCCGAGTTCCCATGCCTGGTGCAGATCCTCCAGCAGTTACTACAAGCTTTCTTGCAAGGAAGCCACTTCTGTGTGATGCTGCCTCTGAGCTGCGTGTTTGTACGGTCCCTTTCCTTTAAATACTTCTTCCTATGAACTTTGCCTGCTCTTATCACAAATGCTTGGGTTAGGGTAATTCCCCCCCAACAAATCCCTGTGGAGCAAAGCCTTGATATTCTCTACTCTAAAACGCAAAAATTTGAGCGGTGGCTTTTTTGTGCACTGGCTTCTAAAAGGAACGTGCTGAGGCTGTGCAACAATTTTTAGAAGTTGCAAAGCTTTCTTCGGCTTTGTGCTTCATCTCCACTCATCTAAGCACACAGCACCGTGTGCCCTGAGTTGGTACTACTTGTGGTTGGGAGGTATTTGTACTTTAACCCTGCTGTTCAAAGTCACGTGGAGTCGGGGCAATAAAATGCTTTGTTTGAGAGGAGAGATGGAATTGCCGGGAGGTTTTTGCATGTGACAGGCATTGGGCTGGAAGTGGGAAAAGAATGAAACTGTCTGCTTGCAATGAGCCTGCATCTGGATGGTCCCTGGGACCTGCTGATTACTTTGTGGAGCCTGCCTGGCCCTGAGCAGGCAGACTTGTGTGCCTGAGAAAACAGGGCATGTGCGTGAAGCTTTGTGCGTGCTCCGGGATTGCTTTCCAGCTCCCGATGCACCTCCCCTCTCCGACAGCCCTTTATTCCCTTACGCTGTTTCCGGGTGTCCAGAAAGCAATTGTAGACTTCATTCTTGCTGGCATTAACGCCTGCAAATGGGCCTAGGAGGAATAAATAGCAGCTGTTTGGTCACAGGCGTGCTCGATGGATAGCCCTTGGGCCTCCGTGGAGAAAGCTGAGTTAGTAACCAGATGTGTGTGAGGGAGGGGAGCCAGCTCGGAGCCCCGTATCGTGCGCTGGGGGTTGGAGCGGCGGCTCGTGGAGCGCGACTGTGCCCTTCGGCGGGGGCCGAAGACCCTCTCCGCGCTGGGCTGC